TCTTATTTACCTTTCAATCAAGATAATAAATTTTAATGCATATTTACCTTTACTTAAATTTTAAAAAATAAAATAATAAGAGACAAAAAACTTTTAATAATTTTTAATTTTTCATGACTTGAGGTTAAATTGAACAGCAATTGAAATTATTCTACCAAAGAAGAAGAAAATGAAGGCCTCAGAATTGCAAAAAAGTCAGCAAGGCTTTTTAAAGCCATTCGGTCCCGAAAGATGGTGTTATTGTTTTTCTGATATCCTCAGTGGCCAAAACCATATCAACAAAGCAGATCAAAACTAATAGCAGAGAGGAGAGGAATACAAAACCATATCCTCAGTGTTATTGATCAAAACTATATATATATCTGTTTCTTGAATTCCCAAATGGTAATAGCAGAAACTCAAACAACAGAGACACACCAAACATTTTATCAAACACTTAATAAGCAAGGAATATAGAACCAAATGATAGTAAATGGGTTGATTTTGCGAAACCCAAACCCAAACCCAAACCCAAAATCAAAATCAAATTCGTGAAACCCAACCAACTCTTCATAAAAGTGTAAGAAAAATCAAATTCTTGTATATTAATACAGAAAAATCAACAATACTCACAGGGCTGGTATGAAGATGAATGATTTTGCGAATCGTTCTTTTAATGATCTCTGTGATGATCGATTGATGATCTCTGTGGCTATGGGCTGGCATGTGAAGCGCCTCACCGAAAACAAAAATCTGAAGCGCCTCACCTCATGAAAACAAAAAATCTGATCTCGAATCTCATGAAACCCAAAAAATCGAATCCGATCTCGAGTCAAAACCCTCCTGAGATCGGTCTCCGACATCGTTCTGGTCATCGAGACAGATCGAGGCTTCGGGATTTGAAGAGAAATGTCTGTCTCTGGCGATGTTGATGACTCTTTCGAATGTGGAAGCCATTCCTTTTGCAGTGGCTAATTGAAGGGGGTTGGGTCTACAGCAAGGGAATGAGTTCTGATGGAGAGAGAGAGAGGGGGGAGGGTTGTGTGTTCAAAATTTGAAAATTGAAACAGAGAGAGATTTTGAGCAGAGAGGAGCACGTGAGCTGAGAGACATTTTGAACCATTAGATCTTGATTGTAACTGATCTCAGCTCTTGGATTGAGTAAGACATTTTCAGCCCTTGGATTGAAGCAATCTAAAGGTCCAAATTGACACATATATTTTCAGTTTTTGAATTCAAAATAGCCCTTCCATTGTTATATAGATTTTTCCATTTTAATAAGTTTAGAAATATATAACTAATCAAAATATCAACCATAAAGAAGACCAAATATATATAGGGGTTTTTTTTTTAAGGTCCCTGGTATTATAATTTTATAGCATAAAGAACACTCAATATTTTTATAATGTCTAAGGTCCCTCAACGTCAATCCAGAGAAAATTCAACCAGAGAAAATTCAATCCCGTGAAATTCTTTAGTCCAAACCTAGAGAAAATTCAATTCAGTGTTATTCTTTGATAAAATTGGACTGATTAAGATGGAGTCCACTGATTTACTGAATTCAATTCAGTGAAATTCTTGAATTTTCAATTGAATCAGTGAAATTCAATTCAGTGAATCAGAATGAGAATGCTCTGAATCAGAATGAGAATGCTCTGATTCTACATAATATTGTGGATGTCTAATCCAATTTTACTCAATTAAAGGCAGAGAAAATTAAACAAACTGAGTTTAAACTAGAGAAATCCAGAGAATTTCTCTGGATCAGGAAAGAATTTCTCTGGACTCACTTCAATCCAGAGAAATTTTCTCAAAACCAGAGAAATTTCTCTTAACAACCCAGAGAAATTTATTCAAATAGTAAGCTGAAGTGAAAAGGAAATTTTGGGTTGTTAAAGGGACGGAGTTTATGTAGTACCTCAATGGATGCAATACCATTATTATATGCTGAATCAATAAATACCATTATTAAATACTGTAACTTCAGGACCTGCTTAACATTCAAAAAGGCGAAAACAAAATTCATTGCATGTGTGATGGTGACTTACTTGAGCTTTAAAATTCCATCTGCAGATCCCTGATTGTCTTCTTCCAAAGGTTGCCATTGTTGGAATGCCAAATGTTGGTAAAGCTTCAGTGACACCGAGAATGGGGTCTTTGGGAGCGGGCTTAACAGTTCGCCACAATGAAGAGGACATAGATCGACCTTAACGACCTTGTACACATGACTCACATGATCGAACCCAAATCCAAACACGACCTTTTGCTCCCCAAACTGTATTGTTCTTGGCAGCTCTTTGAATTCCCTTGTAAAAGGATTGCATATATACATTGTATCGCCATTTACATTGTCTGATAAGCATCACAAACCATTACAAGAACCTATTATGTTGACCTCAGGCAACAACACATCAGAGAAAGGCGTGCTGAGTTTTCTCACAATCTGATTGTTGTGATCAGAGAGTTCCGCAAAGCAAAGCTGCTTGCGGATTGGATCATAACTATGGAACATCAGACACGGGTTGTTCTTCGATGTCCGGTAATATTGAAGTTCAGCGAGATGAGGATAGTTTGATAATATTTGAAAGGTTCAACTTGCGAATCGCAATCGAATGAGAGAGGTTATGGGTAGCCTTGAAAGTATGTCGATGGCTAAATCAAGAGGTAGGCTCTCTATCATAGCAGTTGTTGGTTCATCGGTGTTTTCATGGTTTGTTTTTGTTTTCTTGTTGCTCTTTTTGAAATCCATGGTGGATCGGATACAAAAGTATCAGGGGAGAATCTAGAGTATATATCACAGTGTTCATCAAAGTGTTTTTGCATATTGGCTCATATACAATGATATTTGTCTATTTATTAGTTTGCCTCGTGAAAGTGTTTTTATATTGAAGGGTTGGGATTACAATTATATTCTAATCCCAATATTATTTACACCGTGCCTTCAGGGACGAGCATACGCTAGTATATAATAAATTTCAGTCATTGATCAAAGTACTAAAACTAATATGCATTATAATCGAAAATCACTTTAGTCATAATCAAAGAACAGATCACATACAACACTACTTTGGGACAAAATCAAACATCATAGTAGAACAAAACCAACTTTGATTTGACTATTTATTAGTTCCACCACCACAATAGCTCATAATGAAACACTACAATAACTTACAATTACAGGACTTATGTACCTGACATTGCTTTCACACTAGCCATGTTTCTCAACCCACACAGTACGGTTGAGTGAAGTCATGCTAGCGAAGCACAAGTCAGTGGAAGTCAAGCTAGTGAAAAATGAAATCAACAAAAGATGTCATACTCCATCTACTTCCACTCATAGGGATAATATGTACCTCACATCACCATTTTTTCCACCCCCTAGTTACATTTTAAAACAGGATTGGGATTTGAATTGATACTACTAAGAGAAAATACATATCAGTGGAAAGTTTACAAAATATTAACAGCCCAAATTCACTTAAAAGCCATATATAATGGCGTAATGGTCGGGTCTCGGGTTTGAATGTTTCTAGGATTGGATTTGGGATGGCCAAATTAATCCCAATACCCAGACTTGGCCAAACCTAGAGTGGCACATATTTCCTTAGTTTCCCCCAATCATCATTAGGTGAATCACACATTTTGTTCTTCTACTTCCACTTATCATGAATCCCAAGCCTCCATTAACTAGCCCAGATCACTTCCTATATTTGCCAATTGCTATCTCATGAATTAGGCTTTGACTATATGGAACACTGCAAGAGAGTCATTTTCTGAAATAGGCAAGAAAATTTCTTGGTAGCCTTGCATTCACCACTGATTTCCAATGAGTTTTATGTTTTTCATCCTAATTCCTAATTGTTTCTTTGACTTCATTTGGCTGATTAATTATGATCCAGTGAGCGGCACATTCAAGGATTGGATCATAGTTTAGGGGATGCCAAATTGGTTTCGTACTGTTGTTTGCTCATGTGGGCAGCCTCAATTGGATGAATACTCCTACTAGTATGTAACCTAAGAAAGTAGAGATTATCACTTTTTTGTTCTGTTGAGTTTGCCTTGTACAAAAACAATGCTACTCTGTTCTTCTGCTCCAAATCATGCTCTAACCCTCCATGTTTGCTAAGTTGACTTGTAAATGTGACAATTCTATGGAGTTCATAGGAAGTTCAATACACTCATGATCTGATTTGGGAAACTAATGTCATTCTTTTGATATCTTCAAAACACACACAAAATGTCATGCTTGTCTAGGCAGAGTTGCACTGGAACTACATAAACAGTTGTGAATCCAATATGATCAGATTTATTGTGGATGTGTCTCAAATTCAATCTCCATTATGCTTATTATCCATTATTGACAATGGTCACTAATGTTGCTAGGTCCAAAGTGTTATTTGCATTTGGGTCTATTTTGACCCAATTTTCTATTTGTTGAATCATGGTTATATATCAACTTATTTCAGTTTTATAGTATTGAAAGCTTTTGTTACAAAGGATTGTGTTAAGACTTGAGCAAGCAGACTCATTGTATTCGCTACATACGTAGTAAAACTCTTTCACTCACCCTCATCGGCTGTGAATTGCCTTGTGAATCGACTATATGTATTTGGGATATGCATCTTCTATACTATTATACATGTGAACAACTCACTTTAGTCTCTTGAAGCCTACTCTCTCCTTTTGCCCAGTGGATGCTTTTATATCAAAAAAGAAAAAGAAAAATTATAAAGTGAAGTGCACAAGATTTGAACCTAAGATCTTAAGTTTGAAAAATAATAGGCTCACCACTTGATCAACAAGCACTACATATATTACTAATTCAAAATCAAATTTTATATTTTACAAATTTTATAGCACACCCTAGTATAACTAAATAGGATCAATTATGCGATGCAAATTGGCCAATATTGAAAACCATGGATGAATCATTGAGAATTCATACAAAGCAATGCTTAAGAAAACTCAAATTATATATTTTTTAATAAAGAGCAAAAACAATGATAGGAGTATCAACTGAATTAAGCTAGGCTGCCAAAATGAACAATTGTTTGAAACAGTTCTGGCATCCCCTGAAACATTAGCTTCTCAAATTTTCCACTCTCTGGATCATAAGACACCAAAACTCTACCTCTATACTGTACCAAAACACTGCCATTCTTTAAAAGACAGAGAACTTGAGCAGGTCTCCCCTGCGAAATCTTCCTCCAAATCGCATACGATTGCTTCAATTCTGGTTTCAACGCCACCCGAGGCACAGAACTAGTTCCAATGTTGAACTCCTTGATCCACGACTCTTGCACATCGTACTCTCTCATAACCCAAATCTCCAAATCCTCGTAATTACAAAATGCTGCGGAAAGACATTTTCTTAGCACTGTCAAATGATAGTCACACCTTTCTTGCCCACCCGGTCTCGGGACCTCCCTAAACTTTTCATCACCTAAATCGAAAGATACTATGCTCCGTGCATAACGACTTTCACATTTATGCCGCAAAGTCAACCAATGAAGTCTTCCATTCACCAGTGCTTCTGATGATTGTTGCTCGAGCTGGTAAGGTAAACGTACCCGTCCGAGACTTCTCCAACCAGGACTCCAACTACTGTATACGAAGACCTCTGATCGTGCACGGTAATTATGGATTCTAAAATAGGGGGAAGGCGGGTTTTTGTTATGTCTTTTCCAATTGTAAATCACTTTAACGACCTTGTACACATGACTCACATGATCGAACCCAAATCCAAACACGACCTTTTGCTCCCCAAACTGTATTGTTCTTGGCAGCTCTTTGAATTACCTTGTAAAAGGATTGCATATATACATTGTATCGCCATTTACATTGTCTGATAAGCATGACAAACCATTACAAGAACCTATTATGTTGACCTCAGGCAACAACACATCAGAGAAAGGCGTGCTGAGTTTTCTCACAATCTGATTGTTGTGATCAGAGAGTTCCGCAAAGCAAAGCTGCTTGCGGATTGGATCATAACTATGGAACATCAGACACGGGTTGTTCTTCGATGTCCGGTAATATTGAAGTTCAGCGAGATGAGGATAGTTTGATAATATTTGAAAGGTTCAACTTGCGAATCGCAATCGAATGAGAGAGGTTATGGGTAGCCTTGAAAGTATGTCGATGGCTAAATCAAGAGGTAGGCTCTCTATCATAGCAGTTGTTGGTTCATCGGTGTTTTCATGGTTTGTTTTTGTTTTCTTGTTGCTCTTTTTGAAATCCATGGTGGATCGGATACAAAAGTATCAGGGGAGAATCTAGAGTATATATCATAGAATTATAGTTAGTGTAAATTTGTGTTGTTTCGGTTTAGTAAAATTCATGATAAGTTGGAGTTATAGTTACAGTTGGTAACGCCCACAAAATAAACCCATTATATATATCATTAAACTAGTCTATATATATAAGAATTGCTTAACTGCTTGAGATTTGTCTTTTCTTTCCGATTTTGTTCTTTCATTTTAAATAATTTACTAATGATTGCTTATATGTTGAGTAAAAGTTTTTTTTTCATAATTATACAAACATTCTTTGTCAATTATGCAACAAGTTTTTTTTTTTTAATTACATAAACATTCTTGGTCAATTATGAAATAGGTTTTTTTGTAATTATGCAAATATTCTTGGTCAGTTATGAAACATAAATATTTACTTTTCAATAAATTACAAATACACTCATAAAATTTGTTTAAAATATGAATCAGTCCTATAATATTAGAAATTACAATTATTGTTTATTATAAATTTTAATTTAACACAATACCCAAGGAAAAAAAAACTATTCTCCTATACAATAATAAATTACCAAAATTTTTTATTGAAAAATATTTCTCATATCATGAAAATTTGTTAATTGACTTAATGATTTATTTATTAACAAAATGGTTAATTGAAAAATATTTTTCATATCGTCAAAAATTGTTAATTACTTATGAATAAAATTAATCATTTGTTATGCGAGTATGATTTATTTATTAATAAAATTAGTCATTATATGGATGTATTTTCTTCTGCTCCTTTATTAGTTTAGTCATTTATCTTAGTAATTTTTTTTTGGACGGGAGAATTATCTTAGTATTTGTTTTATATTTATCTGTTGAGAAAAGTTACACACCATGATTTTGTTTTTGGTTTTTTTTTTTTATTTATAAATTCGAAAGAAATGTTAAAAACTCATAAATTCACTCAAAATGATATTGTAATAGAATTAGGATAGACATCATTGGGTGTATAACAAATAAAAAAATGATACATACCACATAATTATATCATATATTTAATGATTTATTCTTTTCAATTTCATAAAACAGTAGTCGAAATTTAAAATTAAAAAAAAATTATTAAAATATAAAATTTAAATATACTGTAATAATAGTCTGTGCCTTGCACAAGCCTATGTAAACTAATATATATATATAAGACCTATTTACCTGCTTGAGGTTCATCTTTTGTTTTCGATTTTGTCCTTTCATTTTCAATAATTTACTAATGGTGGTCTATATGTTAAGTGAAAGTTTTTTTTCGTAATTACGCAAACATTCTTGGTCAATTATGAAATATAAATCTTTTATTTTTCAACAAATTACAAATACACTCGTAAGGTTTATTTGAAAAATGAATCGGTTTTATAATACTAAAAATTACAACTATTATTTGTTATAAATTTTAATTTAACACAATACTCAGGAAAAAAAAAAACTATTCTTCTATGCAATAATAAATTATCAAAACTATTTATTAAAAAATATTTATCATATCATTAAAAATTGTTAATTGACTTAATGATTTATTTATTAACAAAATGGTTAACTGAAAAATATTTTTCATATCATTAAAAATTGTTAATTTACTTAATGATTTACTTATTAATAAAATTGATCATTTGTTATACGAGTATGATTTATGTATTAATAAAATTAGTCATTTATATATATATATATATATATAAATGTATGTATTTTCTTACACGTTTTTATTAGTTCAGTGAATTATCGTAGTAATTTTTTTAGAAGGGAGAATTATCTTAGTATTTGTTTTATATTTATCTGTTGCGAAAAACTATACACCATAATTTTTTTTTTATAAATTTGGAAGAAATGTTAAAGACTCATAAATTCACCCAAAATGATATGGTAATAGAATTGGAGTCTACATCATCAAAAAATGATACATATACCACATAATTTTGTGATATGTCTAATGATTTATTTTATTCAATTTCATAAAACAATAGTTGAAGTTTTTAAAAAATTATCAAAATATAAAACTTAAACATACTGTAACAACAGCACGAGGCTTTTTTAAACTAGTATATATATATTGTATGGTTGGGGTTTAATTTTTTTAAGGGCGAATTAGTCCTTTTAGGGGCTTGTGTTTAATTGTAATACATTTGATTCTGAATTTTGAATCTTGTTTTAAATAAGAACAATCAAAGATATTTCCTTTACAAATGGTCTATTTTAAGGACAAAGTCGTTAGACAATTTATTTTGTGGTGGTTAACTTGTATGTATGATTGAAATGTAATAGTCTTTTTTTTTAATGAATAATGTTATAACTTTATTGGTTATAAAGTTGTGTTTAGTTTGGTTTTTACAATCTATTTTCAATTTGTTTAAGAAATTAAAAATTAAATTGGTGAAAAAAAATTAAAAACACATCATATTTATATAATTTTATCTTTTGACAGAGTAGAAATAATTTTTTTAAATAATGTTTTTTCATATCTTTATTTTGTTATATTAGTTTTTATGTTTTCAAAAGTCAAACATGGTGAAATATTTGGGATCCTTATTAAACTAATCCATTAAATCAAGAAATCTAAAATTAAAAATATTTTGTATATTAAACATATTTATTACACATTAAAAGTCCAATAACCATCCATTACATGATAACCATCCAAAAATATCTGTTAACAACAAATATAACTATCTATTACATGGTAATCATCCGAAAACATCAACAAATACAACCGCTCATTACATGATCATCATCCAAACATATATTAAAAATTAATTTGGTAAAAAAATAAAAATAATAAAAATGTAAAAGATTTATCATTTTTATATAATTTTATCTTTGGTGTGTAGAAATAATTTTTAAAAATTTAAAAATATTTTTTTAATATTTATTTTTGTCAAACTAATTTATATTTTATCAAATTGACTATTTTGCCAATAGTATCTTCAATTGTTCTTATTTAGAACGAGATTCAAAATTCATGATCAAATGTATCACAATTGAAAAGTCATGAACCAAAATGATGCAAGTCCCAAATTATAGGGATCATTAGTGTAATTTACTATTTTTTTTTAAAAAAATCTGAGTTCGATGATGGGACATGAAAAGCTCAATTCATTGGGATAGGTGATATGCATTCTTATGGAAATGGATATACAAGTCCACCTTTTAAACTCATTTTCTAAGTCTAACGATATATAATTTTTATAATTAGACTTGAAAATTGAGTCTAATTTTTAAACTTGTATAGTAATGTCCTCATAACTTTTACATTGTTTTTTTTTTTAGTGAATTTTTGTAAAAATTGTTATAAAATTTTAGGAAAAATTACAAAAAAAAATCCAAAATTTTGACTTCAATAACAAATAAAATCCCAAATTGTAATTGTATCAATTTAAATCCTACAGTTTAAAATTACATACAATTCTAACCACCTGGTCATCTCCATTTATATAATCCTAACCATCCGTTCATCTCTGTTTATATAAAGTGACACGCGTGTTACAAACAAAATTTCTGCTAGTTTATTTAACGGATCGTTGGCATTGAGTCTATTTAAAAAAATAATAATAATAATAATCAGGATTTCAACTGATACAATTGAAAATGTGAGGTTTTATTTGTTATTAAGGTCAAATCTTAGGATTTTTTTTTTGTAATTTTCTAAAAAATTTATATTTTTGGATTCTACTCAATTTGACGGATAATAAAGTAAAAAATAAAAAATTAAAATTAAAATTCAAAATAAAAATAAAAATCTTAAAGACAAAAAAATAAAAGAGCCAAAAGCAGTTGGCTTTTTGTTTTTAATCTTCAGTGAATTATTTTTAAAAAACAATTTAGGAAAATTTACTCATAAATTCTATATAAGATAATGTTGATCCATATAGTCCTAAGAGCTTTTTTTTTTTTGGAACCAATTAGTCCCTTTGTTTTAAAAAGTTAAATTTATTTGATTTGGTGCCATTTGAGTTTAAGTGAATGTCCTTTTGTGATTCATTTTTTTAATTTTTTTGATTTGTTTTTGGAATGAGAATGGAAAGGTGAGGTGTGGAAGATTCTTTTTGTGGTGGATTAGTGGTTGAAGGGTTGATTGTTGAGCGTGAAAATCTATAGTTTTGTTAGTATGATTTTCTAGTTTTACATTAGAGTGCTACGTTAAAAAAAAGTAAATTAAGGAATTTTTGTGTATTACATTAATTAGAGTGCTACGTTTGGAAAAAATACACTATGAAATTTTTTTTAGATTATTACGTTTGAGAAAAGTACATTAAGGAGTTTTTTTAGAATATTATATTCTTACGTTTAAGAAAAGTACACTAAATGAAGTTTTAATATGTTATATTGGAGTGTTATATTTTTGGAGTTACGTTTGAAAAAAGTACATTAAGAAATTTTTTTAGAATGTTATGTTCCAAAAATTTCAACATTGTAAGAAAATTTATATTTATCTCTCAATACATAACACACGAGTGTTTTATACTTGGTCATTTATGTAATTTACACTAGAATGAGACCTTTGGATTCATAAGAAAAATGGATGACCAAATAGTTCATAAGATCACTATTTGAGATTTATTTTAACACTGGACAAACCAAAAAAACAAGTCAAAAAAAATTGACATAAATTTTAAAAAGAAATCACTCAAGGCAAAAAAATGCTAAAACATATGTTACATTTTTAGGTGGATCCCAAACACATTATTGGAGAGTGGGATTGGACTCCCTGTCCAATCCATCAC